CACAACAGCACAAGAATTTGCAAGAAACAGAGTCAGATCTTACTTAAAGTTGGCCCTGCTTTCAATGAGTGTTTGGACAACCTGACCTCTTCTGACAACAGCAAGCTCAAAATACCCTTCTCTCATACACAATGAGAAGTCAGACAAATTACTTGTTTTACGCCAAGGCCTGCACAACATTATACCAATTCAGTTGAATAAGTCAAGACCCAAGTCTCATTAACATCAAGAATGCTTATATCAATTTTTCAGTGCTTTGCCAAAACAGGTGCCAAATTTCATCTACTCGTTATCTTTATGAACAAAACTTACCATGTATTTCAGCCATAAAACCCCTAAAACCCACAGAATCTTACCATTATCATCAACTACTCTGGTTTGTTCTTTGAAGCAATCAACAGGTAAACCTATAACTTCTACTTCAACAAATGGATCTATGATCTGGAAAACAGAAAGTAACAAATATTGAAAAGAAAGAGTGACAAAGATGAAATTCAAGCACATGGTTTACAATGTGGGCATTGTAGGTTATTGTCTTAATAATTATTTGTCCTGAACCTTTTTGTAAATAATTATTATAATGATGAGAGATCTCTGGCTAAGTCATCTAGTGGGAAATGGGGCAGGATGAGCCAGCCTACAAGTGCCTGGCTGGAGGTTAAACTAACTGCAGGTTTCTATCTGAACAGACGGGGTGCAGATTGTTTCTTAAGGTTACTTAGGCATTTTATCTCAACAGTGTTAATTTTCCTATATATTGTTGGCTCCTGACATGGTCAGTAAGTTCGTATGTTTTGCAGGCACTTCTAGAGTAATCACTTAAAATGTGGCTGTTGGGAGTTGCAGGGAACTGGATTCCTGGGCTTGGATAGCTTTCTGACAAGATTATGTTCTGCACGAGCTAATTCCCCTACTGTTCTCCAGCACACAAGACAATCCCATACCTCTCCTCTGTCTCCCAACATGGAATCTCGTGGTTTTGGGAGTTGTTGACCACTGATAATCCTTAGAACCAGCTGTTTCTTCAATTGGCCAGGCAGTGGGTCTTCAGAATTTGGATTAAAGACACCTGTAAGAATGAAAAGTCACATGATATGAAAGACGTGCAGTTCTGGGGATGAATTTAGTTTTAGACACCTTCTGGCATATTTGCTTCTAGCATCAGAAATGCATTTTTAAACAAACTGTAATAAGGATCCACACCTGATCTTCTCACGCGATAAGTGATTCACTTATTTCACTCATTTTTCCTACCTTGACACATGCAGTTTGGTTTGAGGACATAGCCACAATTGCCATTGGCACTAAATTTGGCCCGGTTCAGTTGCAGCATTCTCCCCTCTGACTGGTAGTTTAGTGCAACTATTTAAAAAAAAAAAAAGGTGACATGACTTAGTAAGTACATTAACCATCCTTGTTTGTAGAACCAAGTTAAAGGAAGGACACCCAAGTACATTTTCACATTTAACTCCTTGGATGCAAAACCTGAAATGTTTTATGAAAAAGAATTCACTTCTATAATGTACATTACAGCTTCAGGGAGAGAGGCTCTTCAAAAGTGTCTGAACTCTGAAGTTCTCTTGCATTTCAGGAGTTCATTTGTTTCCATTTATCAGACAACTGCTTGCATGTAAGACACATGTTTGAGGTAATCTATCTAGGTAACAACACAGACAGTAACAAGGAGCACTTGTTTGTCAGTAAAGCTGGATGAGCAGAGAACTCAGTATTTTAAGGGGTGATTCCAAAGCTCCTATTAAGGCATCCCTCCCAAATTAAACCAAAAATCAACAAGTTTTCTTTCTGCTCACCGAGCTGGCAGCCAGCATTCCAGAATGGCTGGGGATTGTAGTTGCTGGAGTCCACACGATAGGAAGATGGGTAGATGCGGGACAACTGATGCTGGTTGAAACGCAGATACTGTGCTGGCTTTTGCTGCAGTATCTGGTGGGCTTTTATTTCACTGAAAGATGAAACCTGCCAGCTGGAAGAGACTACAAAGAAGAGAGGAGGAGATCAGAGGTAATGTCCTTATTTATTTATTATCTAGATAAAGCATTCAAAACTACATACCACTAGTTACTTATAACTATCAAGCACCATTTGAATACATCCCACTCAGAGGGAACTATGCTTTTCTTACATTACAGCAAAATCACTGTGCTTATTGGAGGAGTCAGTGTTGGGAAAATGAAGATGAATATAATGAATGACCTGAATCTTCATCAAGAGCTCTAAAAAAAAATTCTCTTAAGATTTCTTGAATTTGCTCAAGGGAAGTATGATTTCTGGCAATCAATTCTCTCTTTCTGACACTTTTAACTAAACTTGATTCCTGTCAAAATAAGATCCAGAAAACTTAGAAAGAGGACTGAAATATTCTAGAAATGTAATGCTGATATTTTAACAGATTTGACTTAAAAATCTAATTTTTAAGCTTGAAATGCTCTTCAGACCATTCTGCCCAAGAGCATAACTAACTCCTCTGTTGTTTCCAGGATATAATTGTTGTGTAGCAGCTTTTATAGAAGCTAGCAAAGACTACACTTGTACTACTACCTGCAGGAACTTTTTGTCCTTTATGGACACAACTTTAGACGCACTTTGCGGATTCTGAATAGCAAGTGGTCAGTTACTGCAAAATAGTATAGCTTTATTGTGTGCAGCTCTTCTGTTAAAAGCTTTTCAGGGGTGGGGAGAAGCAAATAGAAAACCAGGTTTTAATAAGAAGATATGTAAGAATGTAAACCTTTCAATTTTTTTGCATAACAATTATTTTCAGCAGACATTTAGTTTAACCTACTTTCAGTTTCAACATCATGGATGCCAACAGATTTTGTGTATTTCACCAGATCAGAAAGTGCCCTGGACAGCTTCATTGTTTTCTTCTGTCGGTTTATCCTAGAAAGATAAAACAAATTAATTTCCCATTAATTAAGGGGAAAATTTTGCCTTTCATATTTAAAAATAAATCAGAGTAAAGAAATATAAGAAGGTTTTTTTCCATTAAGGAGGTACTTCATAGTTTTATACCACATAGAGCCTCCTTGTCAAAGCACAGAAGTTGTGGAACCAACAGCATGAAAGTATCCAGCACAAGGCAGTGCTGTTCTTACATGTTAACGGCAGACACAAGTATTTACCTACTAAGATCTGGTGGGGAGGGCTCTAAATGGCTTTGGCCAAAGGGTGGAATATCTCTTCACATATACATTTACTTCTCAAATCAAGTGTTTAAAAAAAAAAAAAAATCCCAAAGAAATAACAAAACAGTAATGCTCTCATTCTCCTCACTTGCTTTGGGTTATCACTAACAGCATATCTACCAACCTCCCAAAGAACTGCTTGATCTGATTTCTTTGTTTTGGAGCCTGAATCTTAACCAACCATTCTGATCAAAATCATCACCTGAATGTTGATGCAACTTCATGTGTCAAATTTTGAACAACAACAAAAAAAAAAAAATCACCTGGACACATGATAGACTCTGGAAATCCACCTTAATGTATTCACTGGGCCACATGGATTCAGGCCTGCAGCCTTCAACAAATTTGCTTCTAGACCTGAAGCGTATCTATTTGGTGGGTACGTTTAGGTAGGCATCTTTCTCAGAAACAAAATTGCCAAATCACTTTAAACAAACCTGCTGCAATGTACAGAGCTCCTGGCTAAATTTCCTTGAGAATCTGAATCATCTTCACCTTCTTCCAGGCTTGTTGCCTTTTTCAATTTGCTTCCTTTTTTCTGTGCCACAAGGAAATAAAACCATAATATCATAACTGTCTGATCAGCGTTTGAGCAGCTGGACACAGTTCTGCTTTGGTAGGCAGAGTTGGTATGTAGATCTAACCTACCGAGTGGCTCACCTTGCGTTTAGAAAAACTGCCCATCAATGACCGGCTGTGCCTTTTGTTGGTACTGAAGTCTTCCCCAGATTCCACATCATCCTCAAGCTTACTCTAAAGTAACCAAACAGAAAGAATAATGTAACAGACCAAACAGAACGCTACAGACAGCATACGTGAACATCACCAAAATACTTTGGGAAGCATTCCTCCCTAAAATGTCAACAGAACTGGATCAGACCAATTTTTTTTTTTTTTAAACGCAAGCTGGGTACAAGACCTTGTATGACAGCAAGAATTGCCATCATTTTTGTCCCTGGAAACTTTGAGAGCAGACAGGAATCACACTGATACCTAACCCCAATTTTATTTTTATCCAGGCAAAGCTGGAATGCCCCCATACCACATATGTTTATTGACATGAGATTGTTATTATAGCTTGATATTTGAAAAGCATAATTTAGCAGGAATTATTTCTACCAATTACACAGTTTTACTAGGACACTCCATGGTAAGAAAGAAACAAAATTCTTGTAATCCCTAAAAATTTATATACTGCATTGGTGCCACTGGTTTTTAATATGACCTTAAGGTTTCATTGTTTGCTAGACTAATAAAACACAGACTATTCTGATTAACACCTATGCAGAAGGATTCTCGAAGTCTTGGCCTTGCAGTGGATCTTAAAATAACTGGCTGATACATTACATAAATCATTAGGCTTAAAAGCACATACAAAACTCATGCTATAGAAAGTTTTGGGGAGATGATTTTTAGTTCTCATCTAGTTTTAATCCCAAGTTAGTACACCTGCTTATTATTGGCAGATCTACAATGTTTTTCATTTGCATGCAGCAATACTCCTAACCTTTTTGTGGCTTATTAAAAATTCTAAAATGACATTGCCTCAAGTTCATGAAGCGTAGTCTTTGGGCTGAGTACATTTTTATAAATAAGCATTAGTATAAAACTAAAATACAAATAAAAAGGAATAGAGAACTGAGGAAAAAAAGCCTAACTTTTATATGCATTTTTTATAATGGAAAATAAATTTCTTTCTGTTGAAATGTCATTTCATGTGTACATTTCATGCTCCAGTTGCTGTGCTAGCAAGAAAAAAAAAAGCTTTGCTTATCTGACAGTGATGTTCACCTGGCATCATCGTTAAGGGAATGGATTCAGCTATGAATCTGAAGTCAATATCTATGATTTATTCAGTAAGCTAATAAAACACAACAAATGGAAATGCTACACACCTCTTTCTCCAAAGGTGCTGGAGAAAGTCATTGGACTTTGGAGAAAGAGATGTTTAGCATTTCAGCTTATATTTTGAAGAAGTGATATTTTCATTATTCATCTGCAATAACAGACTATCCTTCTGCATAAAGTGTGATTCATGAAAACAGCTAAAATTAAAATCTCCTCAGCAAATTAAAAAGACACTTCTACTACATGGACATAAATGTGAAAGCTATTCTTCCTTATAACATAGCTTTATATAAGCAACATGAGGTTTTAATAAGATGTTGCGACAAGATATTACAGAAAATATTCCAGAAGAAGGGAACGTGTTTTCTTCTGTATTGAAACAGCCAAATATGTGGTGGTCAGGGCAGTCATCCAAAACTGGAAAATATAGCTCCAAAAATCTTATTTCTAAGTGTGACTGGGGACATGAACCTGCATCTCCAACATCTCAGGTGAACGTTTGGCTATCTGGTTATTCTTGAGTTGTACTATTCTAGTTAACCCAGACAGGAGACAGAGACCTAATGGCAAATAGACTCTGCAAAAATCATCAGGCGACTCACACTGTCTTGTTTTAAGGGAAGTGCTGAGAATTCTCTAGTTTTATTAGGACTGTGATAGCTGCAGACACCTCAGGTAAACTGAGCTACCTGTATTGGGAGTCTCAAAACACATTTAGAAGCCCAGCTTTAGACATCTACCTTTGCAAGAACAAACATTACTGTTATGAAATCATAGTACTATGTAGCTACAGAGACAAACAAAACAACAATCAGGTCTAGGGGTAAGTGAGGTACAATAAAACATGCTCACCTTCTTACTATCTAATTTTAGACCAGCTTTTCCTGATGATGGTAGAGTGGTAACTGTAAAATTATTTGGATCTTCACAGTCACGGATTTTGGATTCTTTTATCAGCGAGTCAAGTTTTTTCTTTGCTATAGTCTCCACTCTTTTCCTATTAGTAGATGCCTACAAACAAAACAATCATTAAACTAGGTAGTGATGAAAAAAGTCTTAGAAATTATTCCAGCCAGGACTAAAATGTTATGTGCAAAGAAAAAGGAAAAAAAAAAAAAGGAGATTCTTAATTTGCATAACATGCAGTTACCTGCAGCTCGGTATCAGACTCAATGTAAGGTATGGAAGCATATGAGGCCCTCAAGTAGATGTTAGATTTAAAGTGTTCCCTCCTGCTGTGTACACCATAGCCCATGTGAGGAAGTGGGGGAAACAAAAATAGAAATCCAGAGGTTTCTTTTTCATCCATGAGGCATAAACTCACAATTTCAGGTCTTTTAAGAGGTGACAGATTGTGTTTTCTCAGTAGGCCTTAAGAATTCCCAGTTAAATTTGTCATGAAACAAGCTATGATTTTCTGAGCTCTTCAAAATTTGGCTTGGAAAGCAAACCAGACGTAGCAAATCTCAGATTTAAAGCATCAGTAAACCTCACAGCAGAGTGAACTGTTAATAACGAAAACAATGAGGTCAGCAAAGCAATGCCTACTGAGCCTTTTGTGAGAACAACACACCCAGCCATAACGTGTTACTACCTAATTTTATTACAAAAGATGACACCTTTCTTACTGGCATTCATTTCTCCATCCTGGAGAAAAGATATTGCATATCTCCAAGTGATATGCAATTAAAAATCATGAGATATTACTATTTAAAATATTTAAAAATTCCAAACTTGAAACACAAGAACTAGAACTGGTGCTGCCCAGTATGCACTTTGTCAAATTTGTCCCCATGAAGTTTTAGACTTGAGAACTCATACAAGGTTTCTTCTCACTGGGATGGGAAAACTTAACATACATTTACATTCAAATGGTCACCTAACTTACATCTCCATTCATTAGTTTACAGTCATCGTCAATCTCATCAGCACTGTCCTCATCAGAAACTTCACCTTCCTCTGCATCTTCACTGATGTTGGCTGGAAGTTTCTTCCCCTAGAAGATAAAACGATTACACAGGCAGGTTAGCATGCAGCTCTTGCTATATCACACATTTAAAAAAAATATTCAAAGCATGCAACCCAGTTCTTATTGATTGAGAAGACATTTGTTCAGAACCTAAGTACTAGGTTCTCAAAGATTGCTTTTTGTAAAATTATTTAATTTAGGGTATAAGTGTATAAGTGATAACCAGGCAGAAATCATAATCATCATAAACGTAAAGAGAGATGGAACAAACGAAGCAAGTTTTTACCTTAACCAGTATCTTTCCTTTAAGACTTGCTGGTGAAGGGAGCTTGGTAGAATCATCGTTGTGCACAGAAGACAGATCCAGTTTGTCTCCCAGAATTTCTATAAGATACTGAGCCATCTTCTTCTGCTGAATGACACTGCAATGGTTCTCAATTGACAAGATAACAGGGTACCTGGCAGAGACATAAGCAAGTATCATCAACTGCAAACTTAGCTTTTACAGAGTTAAGAGGATAAGGGTTACTACCATCTGAGCCATTCCTGTAACCCGCATCACCACCAATGAAATCCACAGGAGTCAGACAAATCAGTGTGGGCACAGGACTGATATCCTTTTACTCCCTCCAAACTGAATGGTCCATTTCTGACAGCCACAGGATAATTAAACTTCTGCAATCTCATTTGATGCATTTTTTTCCAGAGCACACTTTTCACCTTCCTACACTACCCACTCCTGATCTTCTCTTCCTATCAAAGAGATTCTAACAAGCCATTCATAAGGAAAACCTAATTAGCCAGTGCTTTCAACTCTCCTCTCCAATCGGTGCATCAGCCTTTTTCTACTCTCACAGGTAAAAATAAATAAAGGTTCCAAGAACAGAAAAGATCCCCAAAGGGGTTTTGTCTTTACCTTCCCACTTCCAACAACAAAGCGATAAAGTCTGTTGTGTTAGTGCTTCCATGAAATCTTTTCTAGCTAGCAACAGCAGTGTCATACAAACAAGCCTGCAGGTAAAGCTTCTTCTACAAAACCACTAAGTATTATTCTAGATTTAGTTTTGTCAGTTATTGTTGGTTCTCCAGGCTGAGTCCAAGAAATAACAATGCCTTGTTGTTTGAAAAGCATCAAGACAAGATTGTGAAACATTGATTCCAGTGCGGTTGGTGCCATATAAAAGCACATTGAAGATGGATTTGTGTTTAGGGTTGATACATTTTTAGGATGAGCACAAAAGCCAGCACCCAGCGCAGTTTTGTAGGGCTGAATTATGAGGGATTCATTAACTAAAACCTAATTACAAATAAAAAGATGTCTATCCTGAAATCCAGCCTTCATTATCTCCTCATCAGGAAAAATCAGGCTTTCAGACAGACAATGCCTGCAGGACAAAACTTTCACAGTTGATGTGTGTGAAGCTGTGCCTGAAGCTAGTTCCTTAGCTGAATTTGCAGCCTACCAACATCTGTGCCTCCAGCCTATCCTGGGAAAGAAAACACCTGCAAGTCTCAGATATGTTTCGTTCAGTATCAAACTCTGACTTCCCATTGCATAATTCTCTGATTTCCTGAGCAATGTACAGGTAGGGAAAATAACGTCTTTCTCTTGAACAGTCTGCTTTCTCCACAGTTGGGCTGCTGCCTCTTTGTATTCCTTTGCTGCCTGACTTGCTTCTTGTCCCTGAAGCAACCAAGTGTAACCTTGGCATCACTGGAATATGCATCCAGAGATACGCGGTTAAAGTGTCAGCTAGTCACCAAAAACATTCACTGTCAAAACACATTGATCCTCTTGTCTTCTATGAATAGGATAAATGCAGCCCCAGAACTAGGTACCAAATGCCCCTACTCAGTTTTGCCTTGCTATTTCTTTCTGAAGGCCTTCTCCCCACAGAAAACCACTCAGAATCCTGTCTGGCATGTGCAGACACAGGTTAGATTTTCCCTGACTGCCTTTACATGGATGCCTGGGAGCACTCCAGTTCATAGCCCCGAGACTCAGAAGGTGGCAGACTGTATACATACTCATTCTTGATAAAGGCATATTTGTTGATAGTTTCAATCACATCTTTGAAGAGAATTTTGGAAGTCAAAGTGTATCCGTGGTGGACAATTGGTTCACCATCCGGCCCATCCCAGCAGTCAACTGTAGAACAGAAACAATGACACCCATCAGACAGGTATTCTGGGGCCACCACCTGAGGAAGACTCTGAGACCCTGCAACTCCTGTCAGCCACCCAGCCAGACACCCAGCAGAGCAGGGTACAGGGTCATTCCCACCCTTTGTCTGTATCTCCCTCCTCACTGTGCTGAACGTCCTTTCTCTGAAGAAACACCGTGGCATTCTACTAGGTACAGACGACTGTTCCTACTGTTTGAGAAAGCCCCAAGAAAAAAGCTCTCCTCTAACAAGTGCTGAGGAGTATTATGACAGGAAGAGAGATTACACAGCATAGCATTACTCTAATGACACCACTGCTAAAACCAAAAAGGAAAGCAGAGAATCTTAGCCAAGCTTCTCACACCACAAGCAAAGCCAAGACTTAGGCATCTCTAGCCCTCCCTGGATTTTGTCTAACCTTATACTTGTTTACAGTCACATCCCCACAAAATGTTTTACTCCTCTGAAGCACCCATCTGACCTGAGAAAACCATAATACTGGCCTTCTGAAAAATTGTGAAAACGCTTTGATGATCAGGATATTAAAAATTATTATGAAACAGGTACTGTCTCAGAAAGGCACCACAAGCATCAGAAGGGATTTCACATAAAGGATTCCTGGTCACTGCAGAGACTCTCAACATTTCACATAACAGAACCCTACTTCCCTATCAGAAATATCAGCTTTCCTTTCACGTGTAGCAGGAGCTCTGCCATACTTCCCAGCTTGGTTGCTGTACTCTTGTCTAGAAAGTATACACACCAATACATTCCACTGAATGTTAGGATCCTCTCTACAAAAATATTTTTACAATTTTTTTTTCCTCAGTACCAATGACACTACTCTTTGAATGTCTGCCTTATTTCCATGCCCAAGAAATTTATCCGTTATATGGCACCATTATTTTTTTGTTCTTTATGAAGGGAATACACCATTTTACTAGGCTTTTTCCTCTATTCAATTACCATGTCTTCTGCAGAAGTCAGGAGTCGTCCTTTACAGAGGAGAAACAAAACTACGGAGCCTACTGATGATTCCTTTTTGATCTTTACCTTCTACACAACGACAGCCAGACTGTAGCACCCATGCATACATGTCCACCCTAGACTGGGACATCAGCTGATCTCCCATGAGGTAGGTATTATGTGAAGAGGTAATGAAATAGTGACTCAAAGGGTAAGTCATGTCCTGATTCACTTGGTAGTGTTCTGGGTTGAATATGTCCCCTGACGGACTCCGCATGTAATTGGTGAAACCTGTAAACAAACAATACTATGAATGAAACAGTTTTGTCCTTTTTGTTGCTAGAGCCTTCCTAAAACCAGCCTAAAAATGCATCCCTCCATTCACCAACACATTCATGAACATGTAAGTAAGCAGCCAAAACTTTTTGAAAAATGCAGTAGGAAA